CTCGTCAGTCAAGGAGTTATTCTGTAATTGCATGTGAATATGCTTATCTAATAATAGTTACGATATGTGATTGATTGTTCATACTTCAGTGCGTTAAATAATCTTTCTTACGATTTCACTGATCTGCTAGGTGTATTCAAAATTGTCTTTATTAATAGGCAAAAACATGACGCTCATCATAAACAAGTGCTTTTTCGGTGTTGATCGTGAAATATTTTATCTGAACTGGAGTTTGTATGGAAGATGATGGTTATAATGTGTGGCACATGGCACGGTAGGGATCGGGGGATTAATTTCTAGAGAACTGCAGACATACATATGAAAGCTATAGGTTTTCAGATATTCCGAAAAAAATGGTCTATTAAGTTTCTAGTTTCTTACACAATTCTATGCTGAGGGCGATGCCAACACAAGATTTTTGTTCAACAACAAGTGGATGTAGCGAACATGGCCTGTCATCTGAAAGTGGTGTACTTTGGATGGCTCACCCTGCGGGGACAAGCGGCGACTAGCTGCTCTCTCCTAGCTACAGTCTCATCCGCTGCAGATGGCCGTGTCAGGATGCTGGGATTGGCACGGCGCTGACTCGGATATCCACCAATTGTGGCCGCTTTCCAGCTGTCACCATTAGTGGAAAACGGGCTGGTGCCGCGCTAAATTCAGCCTCCTAACACGCCCCAGCATCAGGCGAGCAAGACTGGGACTCGACACAGTGCATGCTAAATTAATTCGTTTCTGCGAATGCCGTGCAAAAGGCTTCGTGGTACTGCAAAGAGGCTCTCGCAAAAACACCCGTCTAAAGGCATGTGCAGTGCTACAACTACTAACCAGATCTGTTTTCAGCGCCGTGCCAGTCCCAGCATCCTGACGGCCATCTGCAGCGGATGAGACTGTAGCTAGGAGAGAGCAGCTAGTCGCCGCTTGTCCCCGCAGGGTGAGCCATCCAAAGTACACCACTTTCAGATGACAGGCCATGTTCGCTACATCCACTTGTTGTTGTAACATAAATTTTGTGTTGGCATGCCTCAGCATAGAACTGTGTAAGAACTAGCACCTAAAAGCCTGGCTTCAGACTCCGCGATCTGCGCGTCGGATCGCGCGATCCGTCGGGCGCTACTTGAGGTGAAATTATTACTGCGGAGAGGTTTGTTGCGTATATTATGTTTATTGATCCTGCTCTCTCTCTCTCTTTTCCTTCTTTCTTCCTTTGTGTACATAACGCCCTCCTAATTTTAAGGAACGTTTCGAAATATCTTTGAGTTATTTATTATTTCCTATGTAAAATAGTACTAAAATATACAATATGCTAATTATTATACTGAATTTTGCATTTGAGTACGTTCAAGCGGAGTGTTGAACATCTTGTTCCAAAAGTAAGACACGCAGAACTTTTAACAGCGGGTGATGTTGTTTCTCTCCCTTCCCCGATTTTGCCACCGTACGTCGCTAGCCTCTGCCCAATCGATATACGTTCTACATCTCGTCTTTATCGCAAGCTGTGAACGGTGCCTAAAACGTGGATTATTACTAATTTGATACGATTTCAAGATAAAATCGGGCGCAGTTCGGCGCCGGCGAGGGGGGGGGGCACAGTTGCTCTTTTGCTGCTTCCCATCGACGGCCGGGGCCATCAGTGAATACCTGTGAAATCTGGTGAAGCCATGAAATGACATCAGCCGAAGCTTGTAGAAACCATGGGTCTTGGAAGCGGAATGGGTGGAGTAGAGATATGTTGCAAATGTCTTTCCCCAAACTGCGCCTGAAATTGCCTTTCAAATGGGACTGGGGACAAGCAAGTCTGTCATCATACTGGGCACATTTGTAAATTCCTGTATTTTCTGAACGTCATTGGCGCGGGCCACTGAGATGTCCTGTTAGTTAATTTGGTCCACGAAAGGCCCGAAACTAACGGAGCTGGTCATTGGCACACGATGCTATTCTTGGCCGTTCCTTGGACATCGGTACACGCATTGCAATAGTAAATACATATTTTCGAATAGAGGATAAAGCTTTTGCCATTGATCAACACTTTTTATAATGCGAGACGTATTGAACTTCCATCCAGAATCGTAGTGGCTTTCTTTGATTATCCCCTTGATATGGCTTGCGATGGCATTCGATGTACGAGACATAGTGCGAGCTTCGATATTGGTATCAACTCTAGGGAGGAGCACCTCGAACTGCAGTCGTGTAAGGCGAGGGTCTGAAAGGAGTTGAAGGCGAGGGTGTACAAGGATAATCCCTTTTTGGGATGCGGCGCATATCCTACTTCATTCATGTATTAGTGACTTATGAAAGACACTCACCAAGACTTGCAGGAGCCACAATGATGTGCAACTTAGTTTTTTTATCCCTGGTGAAACTGGTTCGAATTACTGTTTTGCGAAGAAGGATTTATTGGCCTGGACAGGAGCCAGGGGATTGACTCACAGAACATACGCGTGGTAGGTGTGC